ATGGTGAGACCCTGTCTAAAAAAAGAAAAACATATACTTCTGTACCCGAATAATAAATAACATCGTATTTTGCTACCATTGAAAGGTAGCCTAAATTTGTTCTATATTTGAGGTAATTGTGTAGAATATGTTGCTCAAATATAATCTTAAAGTACATTGTCACATTAATGCCCTTAAGTAGTAAGGCACAGAACTCTAGTAGGAACATTTCAAACAAGAAAAAGTAATTATAAAAATGCCCTAAGAATCTAGTATGTAGAGTTCATTGAAAGATTGAATTTGTTTTGAGCCTTTGATTCTGATTCAGTGAAAGTTCTTCATTTTAGTACTTTCCTGCACTGTATAGTAAAGGCCTTGAAAAGCCTTCTTTGATCTGTCTGGAAGTGCACTACAGGTGAACTTGAAGTTTAACATGTATTGCTGGTTGTATTTTTGGTACCAGGGATTGAACTCTGGACCTTGTGCTTGCGAGGCACTGAGCTAAATCCCTGGCCTTGAAGTTTAACATGAATTGGGAGTGGGGAGACCCTCTTCATTGGAAACTTCAAAATAATTTTTGTATGACATTACTTTTGCAACATGACCTTAAGAGTACAGGTTGTGTGGGGCAAATATATACTGTGGTCCTAGTCTTTTCCATTCAGGTTTGTAGGTGATAATCTTAAATTATAAGGAATCAGATTTCAGAAAGAGCTGAATATTAAGCTATTTTATAATCAAACATACTTGGAGAGACTTACGCTATATTATTCTCTCTCTCTCTCTCTCTCTCTCTCTCTCTCTCCCCCTCTCTCTCTCTCTCCCTCTCCCTCTCTCTCTCCTCTCTCTCTCCTCTCTCTCTAGTGTGTGGTACCAGGACCCTACGCTTGAGATGCAGGTGTGGTGCCACTGAGTTAAATCCCTGACTCCTATATTATTCTCTTTTGAAGATGGATTTTTCCAATTCCATATATCATCAAAAGCTAGTTGGGTTGTAATTTAATATGTAAAGAATGTAAGCTATACAGTTACAAATCAGGGTACTGATAAATATATATACTGCAATTTCCCTCTTGCCTCCTCACTTTTGACTACTGACTGGAAATGGTCTAGATTTAGTGTGTATGTGTATATATATACATAGAAACAGGCATTTATCTTATACTTTTCAAAGAGTTGTCCACCAAACTAGATAATATATCCTCTCATGATAATGTAGATAAGCCTAGTAAAGCAAATGTTATTTATAATTTTTTATGTTTATAGCTAAGATTAATACCATATAGAGATTTAAGTATTTGTCAGTCAATTTGGCCTCAAGAATTATATTAGTTATTGTATATATTGAAATTATTGAAAATCAAATACTTTTTCATGTTGAACATTTTATTAGTTTAATGAAACTTAGGAGATGTGTTTGTATTACTTTGAATTTTGCTGTCCAATAGTTTGTCATTCATTTTCAGACAGTTGTTCTGTACAGTAGACTAGTAAATGTACCAATCTTTGTCATGTCTAAGTAAGAACTTTCTAAAAGAAATATTCCAAACTTATTCCTGAAAAAAACAGAAAAGAGGGCTCAGTGGTGCCTCCGCTTGCCTCACAAGCACGCAAGGTCCTGAGTTTGATCCCTGGTACCCAAAACAAACAGCAAAAATCCCGAAAATATATAGAATACTTATACTACATCTTAAATCATTATACTGTCCACCTTGTACCATATTACCATGATTTATAAGTTAGGATTTTGCATTAGTAATTTTTTGGATAATTGTGTTACTAGTGATTGTCAATTTCTTTTTTCTTTCTGTGCCGGGGATCTAAATCAGGAATCTAAATTGGGACCTTGCTGTCAGTTTCTATGAAAGAGTAAGTTTGTAGCACAGAGACTTCCACAGAGTGATGTGTGCCTTGTATTGTAGCTTGTTGATTTGAGAAAAAACCAAATGCAAGTGTCTGTGGACATGGATACATTCAGAGTTGTCTGTGTGCACATAACAGTGATTTAACACAGCTGGCTTGTATGTATTTCTAGTTAAGCTTGTAATTGTGTTTATTGATTTCTTCCTAATAGATTTTCTTGGTAGGCTTTCTATTGATAGAATTTATGCTGGCAAAATTCATTGCAGTAATATTCTATATCAACTGAGTGAAAAGATCAGAGTGAAGGAAATTTAAAAATACTGAATAGGTCAGACATTCCTTTTATTTAATATTCAAGGTATTTATTGATCACCTTTACACGTACTTTTCAGCTTATATTTTTACAGCAAGGTAAGTTGTAATATGGAAAATATAGACTAAATTATTTTAATTTAAATAAATGCTATTACTGAATTATTTTAAAACTGTTTTAGAGATTGTTTATGCTTCAGAAACCACAGTAAGAAAAAATACCAAAAATGTGGAATAAATTGTATCTTAATAAAGAGATATTACTACTTGGTGGTTAGTTTGCCACTCAATACATTTCCCCATCATGTACCGGGGATCGAACCCAGTAGGGCCTTGTGCATGCTAGGCAAGCATTCTACAACTGAGCTACATCCCTGGCCCTTTTTTGTTTGGTACCTGGAATTGAACTAGGGACCTTTGCACTTGTGAGGCAGGCAGCGGCAGCACTGAACTAAATACGCACCCCGCTGGCCCTTTTAAAATATTTTGTAATAGGGTCATGCTGAGTTGCCCAGGCTAGTCTTGAATTTGAGATACTCCTGCCTCAGCCTCTTAAATAGCTGGGATTTATGGGCTCATAATAACCTTGCTCAACCTAAAAATGGCCTTTGCATGAACCAAATGAAATACCAGTTAAGTAACTAGAATTAATCAACCTTTGTATTTAAGGGATCACTGTTCTTTTTAAATATAAAAATTGAAAAATAAAAAGCTGAATATACTTTTAAATCTTTATTTGGAAACAAGTTAAATTTAAAGCACAGTTGAAAGAAAATACTGGAAAGGATTTTAAAATTAATTCCCTACACCAAGATTCACCCCATGCCGTTATTTTACCCTTATCCTTTCCTTATCCTTTCTCCTCCTCCCTTCTAATTCCTCTTCCACTGCCTGGTTTACTCTCTGACAATACTGTACTTCAGCCCTCTGAGTGTCATTTGCATAATAATGGTTCCTTAGCCCCAAATGCTAAGAATGTTGATAGTGCCTCCAGCCCCCCTTACAGGACCTTATGTTTGCTGCCAGGCCACCATGACATATACTTTTATTTTTTTTGTAGTGGGCATCAAGCTCAGGTTCCTGTGCTTGTAAGTCAGGTGCTGGAACCACTGAGCTTAAATCCCTGGCCCCAGCATATACTTTTACAATAACCACAGTTCATACATCAATTTCAGTGAATTTACACTGATATTTTATTGAGTTGTGTGGTAGCACGTGTGTGTAATCCCAGCCCCTGGGAGACTGAGACAAGGATTGCTCTGAGTTCTAGCTATCCTGGACTACATTAGTTTAAGGTGAGCCTGAACTTTGTAGCAAAACTGTATCTTAATACACATTTTAATCTTTTATGTGTTGTCCATATTTCAATTTCATCAGTTGATTAGATAATGTCCTTACAGCATTTTTCTCTCTCTCTGGTATAAGATGAATTCTAAGAGCAAATACAGTATTTTATGTATTTATTTTTTGAGACAGGGTCTTGCTATGTACTCCAGGCTGGCCTTGAACTCACTGTGCAGTCTAGGCTGACTTTGAACTTGGGACCTTCTTGCCTCCAACCTCCCAAGTATTGGAATTATGGGGTTGTGTCGCCAGGCCTAACCATGCAAATTTGTCTTTTAGCTTCCTTTAATCAAGACAGTTTTTACAGACATTGTCATTTATGACAGTAACATTTTATTTTGACTTGATAGTTTTGAAAAGATAGTACCCATGAGATTGGGTGTATACTTTCTTTCACATCATGATACTGAGCCATGCATGGGTAAAAACCCCGGCAAAGCTTTAGAACATCTGTTTGTCAGCCTTTACATTTTACTACCAGAATTATAAAATGAGTTTTGTTTACATTTAATTTATACTTGTTTTATCGGTAAAGATGATGCAGTAGTCCAGAATTCCTGATTAGTCCTGATTTTGATTGTTTTAAGTTTGATCAGCATGTTGCATGACATTTTTCATTTGTATTGTCTCCCTTTGTGGTAGTATTGTGCCATCTAGAGGAAATGTGTGTCCTTCTTTTTTTTACAGACTAGCCAGAATGCCTTGTGCATTTTAATATTAGAATGTTGGTTGACATGGCATTCTTTAGAATAATGATTGTCCTGTTCTAAACAAGAATTTAGCACACATAAAATGTGTAATAGATGAAGGCTTAATAGATATGATCTACTAAATATTAAAATCTGTTGCTTTTCCTCAATAAGAAATACCCTATATTTATTTTCTGTATTATTGGGACTCTAACCACAGCATATTATTTTACAATCAACTAATATTAAGGTAATTGTTGGTCTGTGGCTCATTGCCAACCCCTTCATCTTAAGTTCTGTTGTTTTACATCCACCTTATAAGATACCATTTACTCAATCTAGGTTTATTTTTGTATAACTGAAAGCATATTAGATGATAAATATTGATGAAATGGTGTAATGGAAAAGAGCTACCTATAAAAATAGCCAAATAATTTGCATTTATCATTAGAAGACTTCTTACCTAACCATGGGAAAAATCTTTATGTGGTTTACTTGGATATATATAAATAAAATCCAGAAAATTATCAGTATTGGAATCTCTTATCAGTCTCTTATTATTAAGTATGAAGATCTTTCCTTATTTGTTGTGAGATTCAATATGCATATTTTTAATAGAACCTGAGAAACATTTCTGTCTTGAGGTTGAATACTCTGATAAGATAGAATTTGAACTCTGAGGTTGTTTTCAGTATGCTAATTTGATATAGAATATTGAGAAAATATTTCTGAATTATAGGATGGAGTCATTCTACCATACAGAGCCTCCACAGAGATGTGGATACTTTATAATACTTTCATTTTTTTTCTTAGTTGCTGATGTATATTCAAGATGAGTGGATTAGGAGAAAACTCTTTGGATCCATTGGCCACTGACTCACGAAAGCGCAAGTTGCCATGTGATACTCCAGGGCAGGGGTAGGTGATTTACCTTGGGGATGCTTCATGTATCTCCTTTGTTCCATCCTTTTTTTTTTTTTTTTTTAAAGGCAGGGTCTCACTAAGTTGCTCAGGCTGGCTTAGAATTTACTGTCTTCCAACCTCTGTCTCCCAAGAAGCTGGGCTTATAGATATATCCCACCATGCCTAGCTAGATTAAAAAAATTATTATTATTATTATTTTTAATTATGTGATTTTGCTTTGTACTAAGTACAGTGTGGTACCTTGGTTCACAGACTTAAATCATTGCACTGTTCTGGAAAAGGTGGCCATGGCTGTGTTCATCACCGGCTGCAAAGTTCACAAACAAAAAAAATTTTTTTGCCAAATGCTTCTGTTTGTGAATCAGATTGTTTGCAAACAAAAGTATTTGTGAACAGAGGTACCCCACTGTACAGTGTTGCTTATGTGATGCCTGTCCTTATGGATGTAAAAGAAGCTTTTTTATTGCTCATTCAGTGAAAGGGATGCACATGCATGTGAGCATGCACACACACACACACACACACACACACGCACACACCCAGTTTTGTTTGCTTTTGTTTTTTGAGACAAGGTTTCACTGATGTAGTTCAGGCTAATCTTGAACTCTCTATGTATCCCAGGCTGGCCTCAAACTAGCAGCGATTCTGTGGCTTAGCCTCTTGAGGACTGGGATTATAGGCACGTGTTACCACTTTTGGCTTGAGATATTATTATTATTATTATTATTATTAATATGCCAGGAATCAAACTCGGGACCCTGCACTTGCAAGGCAAGGCAGTGGCACCACTGAGCTAAATCCCCGGCCCTCAGGATATTACGTTAATAGTCTGGTACTTAAAGATCCCCCCCCCCGCCATGGAAGGTGTAGGGAGTTAGGAATAACTAACTGATCAATGTTGTTGCAAATAATTGTTGATATACTGTTATAAATTCATATTTGGGCATTTTTGAGGTTTCGTTATTTTTCCCCCTGAATGAAATTAGAAGTTTAAAAATCAGAAATAAAATGCTGTAATCTTTGCAGTAATAGTCTGTAGTTTTTAAAAGTATTTCCAAGGTCAGTGCCATTGTGTTTTATTGTGATAGTTCAAAAATAAAAGCATTCCATATGTTATTAAACTGTCTCATTGATATGTACCTGTTTTTGTTGTTTGTTTACCTTTACAAAGTAAAGATTATTTCTCGATGATGGATCTGAGGCTAACTAACTCTTCCCAGGACCACTTGGCTAGTAATAAGTTGGAACTGAATTTAAATTTGCATGTTGTACCACTTTTTCATTCTAATGTTTTGGTAGTTTCTTTTTTCTTTTTCCTTTTTGATATAGGGTCTCATTAGGTAGTTTGGGCTGCTGTGAATTCATTATATTGCGCAGGCTGGCCTTGAACTGGTGGCAATCCTCCTGCCTCAGTCTCCCTAGTGCTAGGATTATAGGTGTGCCCATCATGCCTGGCTTGGTAGTTTCTATTGGTTAAGTTGGTTCACACATGAAAGTAATGGTGGTGTTAGAGGCTAGTTCTGCTCACAGCTCTATTTTGAGACAGGGCTGTCCTTGAATTCACAACATAGCTCAGCGTGGCCTGGAACTGTCTCCCAAGTGCTGGGATTATAGGCCTGGGCCACCACATCCAGCCTGCTCTTAGATCTTGTACGATAGGTATGGATCATCGCTTTTCTCTCCTCTTAGTCTTACCTGCAGTGGTGAAAAGTGGAGAAGAGAACAGGAGACTAAATATATCGAAGAATTGGCTGAGCTGATATCTGCAAATCTTAGTGATATCGACAATTTCAACGTCAAACCAGATAAATGTGCGATTTTAAAGGAAACAGTAAGACAGATACGTCAAATCAAAGAGCAAGGTAATACAAAGTAAAAAATAGTCTTTTCTTTATATTGTCTCCGCCTGCCCCCCTTTTTTCCTTCTTTCCGCCTTCCCCTTTCCTGTGCTGGGGCTCAAACCCACACCAGGGATTCACACATGCTAAACAAGTGCTCTACACATCTTTGACCCCTGCATTTGCCTTTTGGGCTACCTTGTTTAGGACCTGCAGATGATTGAGGCTAGAGAGCACAAGATTGGATAATTGAATTGGTTAGCTTTGCTCTTTGAGGAAACTGTTAACAAAGAATTGGAAGGTCAGTGTTGGTCGCCCTGTGAGATGTTAGTTTCCTTTCTGGAAGCTGTGGGTTAGAACCAGGAAAAGAAAATTTAGGGTATTGTCTACCTTTCTGAATAACTGCAACATTTAGTATTTATTATTTTGTATGTATGTATGTATGTATGTATGTATGTGTGTGTGTGTGTGTGTGTGTGTGTGTGTGTGTGTGTGTGTATATATATTGATTGGCACTGGGGGTTGAACTTGGGTCCTCGTGCTTGCGAGGCAGGCAGTAGAACCACTGAGGTAAATCCCCGGCCCAACGTTTAGTATTTTAAAATTGTGGTATCATTCTCTTACCAGGTGTGTGTGAGTGTGTGAGTGTGAGACTCTGTGTCTGAACTGTTGAAGGTCGATTTAGTTTATGACTGTTACATGTGCTGTTCGTAGTATCCACTTTGATTTTTTTTTTCCAGGAAAAGCTGTTTCTAGTGATGATGATGTTCAGAAAGCTGATGTATCTTCTACAGGACAGGGAGTTATTGATAAAGACTCTTTAGGACCACTTTTACTTCAGGTAAATAAAAAGATTTTACTGTCCAAATTGTGTTGTACTTTGGCTATATATTCTAAAGTGATAAAGTAGTCAAAAATTTTGTTGGTTAGGAAATGAAAGGAACAGCAACAACCAAAAGACCTTTCTGTGAGACAGAACTCAGTATTCAGAATACAGTGGTAAAGTGTTCTTACATTTACAATATATTTAACTCAGAAGGCTCTGCCCCCTAATAAAAATATAGTTGCAAACTGAAAACACATACACCCCTAAAGAAGCAGGAGGGTGAAGGTAACACAGTTCGCAAAAGTAACCCAGTGTTTCACATAGGTAATACTTGGGTATATTTTAGCTCTCACCTTTTTTTGTGCATTATTGCATAAACATATGGGCACACTACAGGCTTTTGGCATTTTGTTTTTGTTCTTTGGGCAACTCAAGGGATGGAACACAGCCTCTCTTTACATGCTATGCAAGACCTGCCTTGCTCTCCTAATTTTTTGTGGTGCTAGGAATCAAACCTAGAGTCTTATGCACTATCAGCAAGTGCTTTAGTAGTGAGCTATATATACCCTTAGTGTATGGAAAAAAAAAATTATACACACATGCGCACACATATTTTTCATACTGGGGATTGAACTCTGGCCCTTGTGCTTGTGAGGCAGGCGGCCGAATCACTGAGCCACATCCCTGGCTGTGTTCCATACTCCTTTTTCTTTTTGATACTGGGCATTGAACTCCAGTCCTTGCTCTTGCGAGGCAAGTTGTGGCACCACTGAGCTAAACCCCTGGCTTCTTTTTTTTTTTTTTTTTTTTGGAGACAGTGTCTCACTATGTAGTTGAGACTGACCTGGAACTCACTGTGTAGCGCAGGCTGGTCTCGAACTCAACAGCTATCCTCCTGCCTCAGCCTTCCCAGTGCTGGGATTACAGGCATGCGCCACCATGACCAGCACCTGGCCTCTATTCTTGAGGAATTTTTAAAACTTGAAAAACGGACACTGATTTGTTTCCTTAAATAGATTGTGTTAACGTGTGGCACTTACATAGTGTTTTACTTTAAGGGTAGTGGCTGAAGCCCTTAATAAAGTTTACTTGTCAATTTATTTTTGTTTTAGCTTGTTCCAATTGCTTTTCAGTTGATTAGTTTTTGAATTCTTCCTTGTAGATTGATTTTCAAGGCAGGCGGCAGAACCACTGAGCTAAATCCCCAGCCCATGGATTGATTTTCATTTAGAAATAGTATAGTAGTTCTGATAGCTTGACTTCAGAAATGGGAAGAGCTAAAGATGATTTTCTAAACATTTTTTTTCTGTACTAGGGATTGAACCAGGGCCTCACATGTGCTTGGCAAACACTGCCACTGAGCTATACCCCATCCTTTTTTTTTTTTAGTTTTAATTAATTTATTAATTAATTTTATTTTAATTGATACAGAGTCTTACTCTCTGGCCTAGGCTGGCTTCATCTCATGATCCTCTTGCCTTAACCTCCCAAGTGTATTTTTATTTCTATTTATTATTTTTTGTGGTGGTATTGGGGATTAAATTGGGTGCTTACTGAGCTACATCCCCATAACTTTATATTTTGAGACAATTTTTCATTAATATGCCTAAGTAGTAGTCAACCTTGGGATCCTCCTGCCTTAGCCTCCCTCAGTACTGAAATTTCAGGTGTGCATGGTCACACCTGGCTAACCTAACCCATTTTTTATATTTTAGCTTTGTATAGTTTCACCAAGTCTTTAAGTTGCTTAGGCTATGCTTGATCTTGTGATCTGCCTGCCTCAGCTTGCTAAGTGCTAGGACTGTAGGTGTGAGCCCAACATTCCTGGCTTACAGTGACTGTTAAATCAGTAGCCCTTTTCCCCTCAAGTGTGTTATTACTAAGTCTGTTTCCTTACTCTACTAAGGCTACCGTAACAGAATATCCCAGACTGGGTGGCTTAAATAGAGAAATTTTATAAGTTTTGGAAGCTTTAGTTAAAGATCAAGGTATAGGCAGAGTTGTTGTTTTTTGAGTCATCTCTCCTTGGTTTGTCTCTGTTCTCACATGGCATTTTATCTGTGCATGCATCCCTGGTGACTTTTTTATGTCTCCATATAAGACATGTTAGGGTAGTATACTGCCCTTATAACCTCCTTTATCCTTAATTACCTCCTTAAAGACTATATCTACAAATAAGAACTTCAACATAGAAATTGTGTGGGAGATGCAGTTCAATGTGTAACAGCCTGTAATAACATATCCCATTGTAGGCATTGGATGGTTTCTTGTTTGTGGTGAATCGAGATGGAAGCATTGTATTTGTGTCAGAAAATGTCACACAATACTTGCAATATAAGCAGGAGGACCTGGTTAACACAAGTGTCTACAATATCTTGCATGAAGAAGACCGAAAGGATTTTCTTAAAAACTTACCAAAATCTACAGGTAGGCTCTTAGTGTTCATTTTCTAAATATTTAAATTTGCTTTCCTTCATTATTTCTCAGAAAATTCAGTGTACTTTGTAGGAAACCAGGTGATCAAACTTGTGTAGAAAGATAAGTTGTTACTAGGAAAAGTTTCAGATATGGCCTCAGTAAATTTAAAATATGGCATGCCTGTAATCCCAGCACTCAGGAGGCTGAGGCAGGAGGATCGCTGTGAATTCAAGACCAGCCTGGACCACACAGTGAGTTCCAGGTCAGTTTCAATTACATAGTGAGACCCTGTCTCAACCCCCCCCCCCAAAAAAAGGCATATACATTAATTATGGGGCTAAAACATGTAGAAATATTTCTGTTGAAGTTGAATTATTCATGCTTTTTGTATATTGCTGTTCCGAAATGTTAGTGTAGATCTTTCCATGAAAACATACGTAATGAGAAAATGCAGCTTAATTTTTTTTTTTAAATGGTTGAGACTGGATCTTCCTATGTTGCCCATATTGGTCTCGAAGTTTAGGACTCATATAGTCCTTTGCCTCAGCCAGCTGAGTATTGGAAGTGTAGGCTTGCATTATCATACCTGGCTTATCTAGCTTGAATTTTACTGATGTCGTAGACTTGAGATGCCAGATTTAAAAAAGTTATTTCAATTTATTTTCCAAAGTTAATGGTGTTTCCTGGACAAATGAGACCCAGAGACAAAAGAGCCATACATTTAATTGTCGTATGTTGATAAAAACACATGACATTCTGGAAGACATGAATACCAATCCTGAAATGAACCAGAGATATGAAACGATGCAGTGCTTTGCCCTGTCTCAGCCACGGGCTATGATGGAGGAAGGGGAAGGTAAGAGGAATCATGTTCATGACGTTTATGAAACACATAGCAGTCACACTGTATTTTGTAACTTCCATTGTTTCGACTCTTACTTCTTTGTCTTTGCTTGCCTATTGCATAACCTTATTGAAAAACAATTATAAACTTTATCTGGTTACATTTTTATTGTAGATTTGCAATCCTGTATGATCTGTGTGGCACGCCGCATTACTACAGGAGAAAGAGCATTTCCATCAAGTCCTGAGAGCTTTATTACTAGACATGATCTTTCAGGTAAAAACTGTGCATGTACATCTTCACTTTGAGAATTGTTACAGAAGTTAACTATTCCTACATTTTGCATGATCATTTTAGTGCTTATACCCATTGGAACTAATTCCTTATGTATTATACCCACGTTTCTTATAGAACCCGGAGTGAGTTTCACTACCACTCATAGCACTTAAGTATATTTGGCATTAACACCCCCTAAATAAACAAATTAAGCAACAAATACAGAGGTACTTTTTTCTCCAAATACCATTTTGCATCAGAATTATCATTTTTCTCTAACTTTAAGCCCTAAAGAAATGTTTTAAAAAATACAGATAATGAAAATTACTCACAATAATTCTTTATCAACATGAGCTTCAGCTTGGTTTGCTATTTTTGACCACAGGAATAAAGAATTGATGACATCACAATTGATAAGACACATTTAAGAAGTTTTAAACATGGTGGCACTGTTACCCGTGTTCACCTTCAGGGTCTCTTGTGATTATCTAACCCCAAATGATGAGGTCAAGGCTTTGTCCTATGTACTTCATCTCAGTGATGAGACCTCCAAGCTTGGTGATAGAGAAGAAGCTAACTTATTGTCCCAGATCATAGGTAATAAGAGAATGTGTACCTAGGTCTGCTTGATTTAGACGAAAACCTGTAGTTCCTGAAAGAAAGCCGGTAGTGTTGGCTTTGTGTAACTCTAAGTGATTTCATAAATGGAGTAGTTTTAAATAAATATAAAGTGTATCTGTTGCTATTAGAATGTATGTATAATATGTACATGTGTTTAGAGATCTAAGCTCAGGAGAAGGGCCTGAAGACTATTCTGTATTCACAATGCATAGATACTTAAATTACTCTTTCTCAGAATGAGTTCTTCCTAGCCAACCCCCACTAACATTTTTATTTTTGGTCACCATTAAAACTCTGGTTTTAAAGATTATTTAACTGGTGGCTTATTTCTCTCAGCTCTGTCCGCATTAGTTGTTTTCTCATGCTCAGTAGGTTTTTTAGAACTATCTTGCATTGTGGATTCCCAAGGTTTTTCTTAGTCCATGCTTAACTACTGTGGTAACGAGATGATGAATTTTTCTAGTTTTCTTAGTGTCAGCTTTTTGGATGCTTGTTTCTAGTCCTTTAGATATCTTATCTGTCGTCTTCAGGATTGGTGTTGAACATAACCAGTGTCTTGGATCTATTTTTTTTTTATTAAAACTTGTGCAGAACAGACAAATAACTATTGCTAATTTTGACATCAGCTTGGGTTTCATTCATAGCCTGCCAATTTTTGGCCATGAACAAATTTTGTCTCATCCAAGAGCCATACCAAGTCAGTAGGTTACCCAGTTTTTGTCTTGGGCTTCTCCATAATTACTTTTGGATTTTTTAACTGCAGCTTCTTCATTCTGCACATCAGCAAGGATCACTTGAAAAACTCAACTTCCCCTGGAGAAGTTTTATACCCTCTCCAGGCATTTTCCCCTCTTTTACTAACCTGGGTCTTGTTTCAAGAGTTTTTATTTTCCTACTTCAAGTCATAGGTGGAATTGATAGTTCCAGTCCTCTAGTCACCTGGTCCTTCTGTGATTAGCCCCTGACACTACCTGGGTGTATCAGAGAGATTCTTTATGAATCAATAAAAGATTCTCTTATGAGAAAACAGGAAGTGTACAAAACAGTATGTATATTCTCATACCCCTAGCAGAACGTGTAGATATAACAGCATCCTACAGGACTATGTCTTCGAGGAAAAACAAAAATTTAGACTAGAAAAGGCAGAATAATGATTTAATAGCTTTAATTTTTGTGCTAAGCCATGGATAGGCAGGCATAAATACTTCTGGGTAGCATTTAAATCTTTATTTTCTATTTATAGGAAAAGTTGTTAATATCGATACAAATTCACTAAGATCCTCCATGAGGCCTGGCTTTGAAGATATAATCCGAAGGTGTATTCAGAGGTTTTTTAGTCTTAATGATGGGCAGTCATGGTCCCAGAAACGTCACTATCAAGAAGGTAAAGACATTCGGAGTTGATTCTTGATCTAGATGGTTGGGTGTGTTATACACATGACTGTAGGTGTGGGGGAAGGAAAATAAGTCTTTTTTGTTTTGTTTTTTTGAGATAGGATGTCACTATGTAGTTCAGGTATGTTGTGATCTCTCTACGTCGCCCAGTCTAACCTTGAAGTTCCAGTGATCCCCCTGCCTTAGCCTCCCAAGTGCTGTGATTATGGGCATGTGACACCATACCTGGTGCAGTCTCTGGTTGGAAAATAATTTTTCTTTATTTTTTGCTTTAAACACCACATTTTTTTTCTTATATCTCTGGAGATCAGTAGTCCAAAGTCAGCCCCATCTAGAAAGAAAGTGTCCATAGCCCTGGAAGCTCTCTGAAAGAATGCATTTCCTTTCATTTTCTAGCTTCTACAGGCTGAGGCTGCCCAAATTCCTTAGCACTCCTCTCTGCCCTGTTTTCCCATATAAGGACCCTTGTAATCCCACTGGTCGTACCCAAATATTCAGAGAAGATTCTTAAATTTATACAAGCTCCCCTTTGTTGTGTGTATGCTGATAGAGATTCTGGGGATTATACCAAGACATACTTAGGGGGCATTATTCTGCATATCACAGGATCCCATTCAACTATATATTGTAACCTTATTTGTTGATAGGTCTATCCTTTCCCTACTCATCTACAGTAGGGTTTGGTAAATTACCAGAGGCAAAATTTAACCCACTGACTTTCTATAGTCTTATCAGAACACAGCCACACCCCTTCATGTATGTGTAATACTGTGTATAGCTACTTTTCCACTACAGCAGCAGAGTTAACTATTTGTGGCAGACGCTCTAGCCTGTAAAACCTGAGAATATACATTACCTGGCTGGCCATTGTAGCTTACCTTTATAATCCCAGCATTCTTGGAGGCTCAGACAGGAAGACTCCAAGCTCAAGACCAGCCTGGGCAACTCAGCAAGATCCTGTCTCAAAAAATAATAAGCTCATTGTGAAGCCCCAGTCCTGAGGAGAGAGGGAGAGAATATGCACTATCAGATCCCTTACAGGAAAGCCTGTCTCTGATCTACAGGTAGGGTTTGTCATATATCAGTATAAGTACGGGTCTGTTTCTATAGTTTTTTTTGGCGGGGGGGTGGTGCGTACTGGACTTCGAACTCAGGACCTTGTGCTTGTGAGGCAGGTGCTGGAACCACTGAGCTAAATCCCTGGCCCAGATTTCAGTTTCTTTCCATTGACTTGCTCCCAAGCTAACACCGCAGACGTCACTATTACAGCTTTGTTATAATTCTTGTACCTGGGGAAAGGGGGACACAACAAGGCTCCCATACTTCTAGTTTTGGCTTTTTTGGGGGGTCGACTGGGGATTGAACCCAGGGCCTCGCACCTGCTAGACAAGAGTTCCATCATTGATCTAAATTCCCAGGCCCATAAAGGTCTTGCTGAGCTGCTCAGGCTGGGGTGGAACTTTTGATCCACCTCCCTCAGCTTTCCAAATTGTGGGGATGGGTCAGGGATTTAGCTCAGTGATGCCACTGCCCGTCTCCCAAGCACAAGGTACTGAGTTTGATCCTCAGCACAAAAAAAAGATGTCCAATTTCAAATTGTGGGGACTACAGGCCTGCATCACCACACCCCCACCCTTTTTTGGTTTGGTACTGGGGATTGAACTCAGGACTTTCAGCCTGCAAGGCAGGTGGTGGCACCACTGAGCTAAATCCTGAGCCCTAGCATGCCTTTTTTGGGCCACTACTTGATTAGTGTACACTGTCCTCACTGGGCCAAGTCTGTCTTCAGTGCTGTATCCCTAATGTTCTACGCAGGGTGTAGCACTTGGTAGTTGATCAGTACAATGTATGGAACAAAGAGCAGTCCTGTGCTAGGTCATTCACTCTTCTGTTAGGGTGAGAAGAGGATGCTTGCCCCTTCCCAATGCCTTAAGACATTCTTGTTTTACAGATGAGGTACGAGTCCAGAGAGGGGACAGTGTTTTGTCCACAGACTCACATATCCAAAGGAGGCAGGCAGAACTGGCTCCAAGGTTTAGGCTGTCAGATATTTTAGTACTGTCATGGGTCTTTATTCTTCTGGTATCCCCTTGCATATCTCTGGGCTCGTTCCACACGAGTTCATGGAGTGATGACGTTCTCCCTACAGCCACCCATTCCATTCCATGGCAGCATCGTCATTCATTTCTGGCCCCCAGTGATGGGCTCGTGGACTGTAGAAAGTCTGGCCACAGGGCTGGGGATTTAGCTCAGTGGTTCCACTGCCTGCCTTGCCAAGGACCTGAGTTCGATCCCTGGTACCAAAAATAAATAAAATAAATAAAAAATAAATAAAATCTGGCCACAGCTCTCCTGCTGCCATGCTCTTTATACCCTTTCCCCATGCTTGAGTTTATAGGATAAATTCCTACAGGTGAAATCATTTCAGCAGGGAAGTAAGTGTCTGAAATGATCGTGTGGCCAAGATGGGGTCATTAAGTGAAACCTTGATTTGACGCAATAAGGAGAGCCTTTTTGCCCACACTCCTCACCAACTGTGGCAGGATACCTGCTGACTTTTTACCTTTGCCATAGAAATGCGGGGGGAGAACCAGATAGAGCCAGCACCACCAAATCATAGCTCCAGTTCCGTAGTTTTGGACCCAGGGCTAAGTCTGGGTGACACCTGCCCCTCAGGTGAGCACAGTTCCTCAGCCTTCTACTTTCAGGCCTGGTATAAATGGCCAGTCTCTTCCTGCCAGGTCAGTAGAAACTGCAAATCTGTACAGCTGGCCTAGAAATCCCACCTCTTTATTCATGGGGCAGGCAGCAGAGGGGGCCCATGAGCCACCGGTAGGGACTCACTCTCTATCCCCCTGGCCCTCCGCCTGGTGGTGGCCTTGCTGGTGCACAAGCAGGAGGTGTCTTTGGCCAAAGGCCTGGCCGCAGGTGGAGCACTGGTGCCAGCTGATGGCCCGGCAGTCCGGCGTGGTGGTGGGGTCATGACAGAGACGATGGGTGGCCAGCTAGGAGGGGATTGAGAAGGCCTTGGGGCAGTGCGGTCAAGGATAGGGGTGAGTGTCGGTGGCATGGTGCGTGTGGCAGTGGGCCTTTAGCTTGGAAGGGTAGCAGAAGGACTTGGAGCTGTCAGGGCATGGGTAGGGGCAAGTGGGCATGTGGGTCCAGAGATGGGCCGCCAGCTTGGAGTGGTAGTCAGAAGCCTTCGGGCAGTGCGGGCACGGGCACAGGTGGGGTGGGCCCCACTGTGTGTGAGGTGGTGCGTTGCCAGCTTGGAGAGGGGTAGGAGAAGGCCTTGTGTCAGGGCAGCAGTGCAGGTGCTGGGGTGGGGACTGCCGGTGGTGTAGGGAAGGTGAGCCCCCACCTGTGGTGGGCCCTGGAGCCGACTGGTTGGGTTTCTGTGGCCGGCCCTTTGGTCACTGTGTCGTTGCCAGAAGGACTAGGATCTGTGGGCCAGGCCTGAGATTTCACGCCTTGCTGCAACATCCTGCGGGCACAGGAACATAGGGGCCATGCTTCTGCCTTAGGCTCAGTCCATTGCAACTGCATTGACCATGTAAATTTCATCCTCTGCCTAGAGTTGAGGCCGTGTAGGATGGAGTTGGGGGACTTCAAGGCCACCCCTCCCACCTTGGCTACTGTTGCTGTGGCTACAGCTTCCTGCTGCCCTGAGCCAGTCAGACCATGGAGGGGATCCAAGGAGAGGGGAGGAAGAGGGAGCCCCAGGAGGGTGGGGCCCTGCCTCATTGTCATCCCCTCCTCCTGCGGATCTGAGGATCGGCTGCCTGCAAAATAATTCTTGAGCCTATTGCCTTTGATTGAAATTTTTGTGCAAGTACAATCTTTCACTGGATCATTTAAAAAAAATTTTGGGTTTGAAATACAATTCTCTCTTCTATATATAAGCATTTATTTTAACTGATTGTAAATACTAGTAATAGTGTGTTTCACTTAACAGCTTATATTCATGGCCACGCAGAAACCCCAGTGTATCGCTTTTCATTGGCTGATGGAACTATAGTGACTGCCCAAACAAAAAGCAAACTCTTCCGAAATCCTGTAACAAATGATCGTCATGGTTTTGTCTCAACTCATTTTCTTCAGAGGTAATGATAGGTTTCTGTGCATTTGTGTGTTAAATGCAGTGTTTTCACAAGATGCTTTATTAACATAAAAAGAGAAAAAGTTATGGGCAGTAGATTTTGCTCACTGGTTCTGCCGTCTGCCTCACAGGCACAGGGACCTGAGTTTGATCCCCGGTACCTACATAAATAGATAAATAAAATAACAAAAGAGATAAAGTTAATGAGAGAAATGGCAAAAACTGTTGGATTTAGATTCCTAGATTGTTTTCTTTATGAATATATTTTTATGTAAAAATGAGTATTTCACTAAATAATTACTTTGTGGGAAAGTGAAGAGATGTGAAGTCTGGTGGATAAAGAGCATATAAAATCTGATTACCTCTGTTACCATTAATTTCTTTTTGGGTGTGTTTTTAGGTTTTTTGAAACAAGGTCTCACTATGTAGTTCAGGCTGATGTTAAACTTATACATATCCCTGGCTGGCCTCGAACTTGCAGCAGTCCTCCTGCCTCAGCCTCCATAGTGCTGGGATTAAAGGCATGTGCTACCACTCCTGGCTTTTGATTTCTAATGATGTATTACATTGATTTTAGGGGCTGAATTTAAAGTTTGAAAGTATATTGTAAGAATAAAGTGTAGTAACTGCTGGTATTATTGCTAATGGCAACTAAACAACAGATGAATATTCACCCATTAATTATCTTGAGTAAATTTTCAGGTATTTTCAGGTTAACCCCTAGACATGTGGCAATTCTACTAAAGCCTCGCTGAGAGATTCCACCTGGAATCCTCCATAGCACTGTGGTGGTGTCATTCTAATTTAGATTTTCTGACTTACTAAAAAATACATTATTAGTGATCTAGTACCTAAATTGGGTGTGGCAGGAGGCATTGGAATGACACCTAAAAGAAGGTACGTTTCCTAGGCAGTTACTTCATCCTTCTCTTTTTCTCTTTCCATTTCCTCTCTTTGTTGCCCCAAATGTAATTCTGGGCTTTAATGCATTCTTGTAATTTTTTAGTAAAAGTTTGATATTTCTTTCTTTGCAGAGAACAGAATGGGTATAGATCAAATCCAGGTCCTGTAGGACAAGGCGTTAGACCTCCTGCTGCTGGATGCAACAGTTCAGTAGGCAGCATGAGCATGTCACCAAATCAAGGCTTACAGATGTTGAGCAGCAGGGCCTATGGCTTGGCAGACCCCAGCACCACAGGGCAGCTGAGCGGAGCTAGGTATGGGGCTTCCAATAACATTGCTTCACTGACAGCCGGACCAAGCATGCAGTCACCGTCTTCCTACCAAAACAACAACTATGGGCTCACCATGAGTAGTCCTCCACATGGTAGTCCTGGTCTTGGCTCCAACCAGCAGAACATTATGATTTCACCTCGTAATCGTGGGAGTCCAAAGATGGTGTCACATCAGTTTTCTCCTGTTGCAGGTATTCACGGTAGCGTTCTTTCTTTTTTTGTTTTAGAAACTAAAGTACTATTTTGTCTAATAGCCTAATTTCCTAATTTTTGTCCAAATGTAGGAGTACACTCTCCCATGGGATCTTCTGGCAGTACAGGAAGCCACAACTTTTCCAGCAGCTCTCTCAGTGCCCTGCAAGCCATTAGTGAGGGTGTGGGGACTTCTCTTTTATCTACTTTGTCTTCACCAGGACCCAAACTGGATAATTCTCCAAATATGAATATAACCCAACCAAGTAAAGTGAGCAGTCAGGATTCTAAGAGTCCTTTAGGCATGTATTGTGACCAGAATCCAGTGGAGAGTACAATGTGTCAGTCAAATAGCAGAGATCACCTCAATGACAAAGAAAGTAAGGAGAACAGTGGTGAAGGGGCAGAGAATCAGAAGGGTCCTTTGGAAAGCAAAGGTCATAAAAAATTGCTGCAGTTACTCACCTGCTCTTCTGATGACCGAGGCCATTCTTCCTTGACCAACTCCCCCTTAGATTCAGGTTGTAAAGACTCTTCTGTTAGTGTCACCAGCCCCTCTGGAGTCTCTTCCTCAACATCTGGAGGTGTTTCCTCCACGTCCAGCATGCATGGTTCACTGTTGCAAGAGAAGCACCGGATTTTGCATAAGTTGCTGCAGAATGGGAATTCACCAGCTGAAGTAGCTAAAATTACTGCAGAAGCTACTGGGAAAGACACCAGCAGTACAATTGCTTGTGGTGAAGGAACTGTCAAGCAGGAGCAGCTGAGTCCTAAGAAGAAGGAGAATAATGCACTTCTTAGATATTTGCTGGATAGGGATGATCCCAGTGATACACTCTGTAAAGAAGTACAGCCCCAAGTTGACGGGATGGATAATAAAACGAGTCAGTGCAGCAGCTCCTCCATTCCCAGCTCAACTCAAGAGAAAGACCGTAAAATTAAGACGGAAACAAGTGAAGAGGTAATTGATTTTTCTCTCTGTTTGAACCTAGTCATGTGTGTCATCCATTTAGAAAGATAATGTTTTATACACAAATATTTGTTTGCTAATTTAAGTCTTATCTAAGCAATTCCCTATTTAGGGGAAGTTAGTCTTGGGTTTTCATTTCTTTGTAATACTTTTGGGTGTTAGCAAAGTATTGTGATGCAATTTTGAAATAACAGCTGTGTATCTTCTAAACTTTGGATATAATTCACCTGGAAATTTGAAAAGTTTTAGGCTGTAATGTTGGAACAAGCAGATTGGGTCATTAAGGCTACTATAGAAGGAAGAAAAAAATTTCAATTGAACATAATTTTGATTTTGATTTTCCTGGTATTGGGGATCAGCGTCAGGACCTTGTGTTTGCAAGACAGAGTGCCACTGAGTTAAATCCCAGGCCCAATTTTGATTCTTTTCTAATAATCAAGTTTCATTTACATGCTCACATTGTATGTAAGCATTTTTTTAAACTCTTAAAAACTACTCTAGGCACAACTAAAAGGCTTGGAGATGTCTCGCAGTTAGGGTGTGGGTTTAATGTTCGAGCTAGTGCTCATTCACATTTATTGATCACTCTTTTTAGAGCATCCCATGAATATCTTGTTTAGACACCAGCTTGCCACTTGTACTATTAATCACACTTCTTATAGAAGGCATATAGATAGATAGATAGATAGTGATTGTTAACTGGAAAATATTCATTAAAATTTGTTTTAAACAAATTTTTTTCTTCGCTGGAAAATATAGTTTGAAAATTAAATGTCTAAGTGACAAAAATGCCTTTTTTAAAGCACCAAGTTTGGTGATTTGTAAACTGTTCATACTTCTGAGGGAGGAAGATTAGGGATGGGAGTCATAAGAAGCCAGGTGTTAAGTTGGGCATTATCATTTTAGGAAAATACTATATTTTATTTGTTCCTTCATATATTTTCTTCCGATGAACATGTTTATAGATGTGTATCTGGCATGCTACATAGGTTAATTTTTGAAATTTCATTTTCAGGGATCTGGAGACTTGGATAATCTAGATGCTATTCTTGGTGATCTGAGTAGTTCTGATTTTTACAATAATCCTGTATCAACAAATGGTAGTCATTTGGGGAGCAAGCAACAAATGTTTCAAGGAACTACTTCTCTGGGTAAAGGTAAACTAGTTTTTGTTGTTTGAAACTTTTCTGTTACTTGTATGTGGTTTTATACCAAAACCAGGATATAATAACTACAATTTAAATTGAGACATACTCTGCCTTTCATTTTCTCATCCTAATTCAGTGTGTTTTTTTGTTTGAGCTGTTTTGTTTTTTTTTTGAGACAGGGTCTCACTATGTAGTTGAGACTGACCTGGAACTCACTGTGTAGCCCAGGCTGGATTCGAATTCACAGCAATCCTCCTGCCTCAGCCTCCCGAGTGCTGGGATTACAGGCGCACACCACCATGCCTGGCTAATTCAGTGTGTTTTTCAAAGTTTTTTTGTTTTTTGTTTTCTTTCAAAATCCCATTTCTAATGAATATGCCAAGTATCCATGTAACTTGTAGGAAAATATTAATTTTTGTTTATTCATATGAGTAGTAGTTGCTAGGACTTACGTTTAATTTAGCCACAGAGAATTGGATTAAAAACCAATTTAAGCCAGGGATTTAGCTCATTGGTGTTGCCACTGCCTGCCTTGAAAGCATAAGGTCCTGACTGAGTTTGATCCATGGTACCAAAAAAAAAAAAAAAAAAAAAAAAACAAACAAACAAACCAAAAACAACAAAAAAACAAAAACCCAACTCAGATGATAGGTTAAAACCTGTCCTCTGGTTCTTCGCTAAGTTCTCCTGTATTTCTTATGTGTTTACTCATTGACCATTTTAACAAGGAGATATATTGTTGAGAAGGCATAATTTACAGTTAACCTAGAATGGTGATTATTGATTTTCATTGGTACTGTTTTCTAAACTGAAATGGATAGTCAGATCAATCACACAGATTGGGGTTAAAAAAAGGGGAAATATACATAACATATCTGGCTGTAGAAGAATGTCCAGCATTTCAGCCAACACTGAAATTGCTGTTTCTACTTTATTTCTACTGTATAATTTTTTAAACTTAGCATTGATTTTGTAAGGGAATATAATATTTGTTTTTGTGAGAAGGACATTTTCATGTGGGGAATGGTGGTGTTCATATCTTGTACTTGATGACTTACATGTTTTCTTTTTTGTTAACATGGATCAAACTCAGGACCTTGCACTTGTGAGGCAGGCCACAATGCCACTGAGCTAAATCCCCAATCCCTATTTTTTTGTTTTTTTGAGACAGGGTCTCACTATGTATTTAAGGCTGGCCTTGAGCTCACTGTGTAGCCCAGGTTGGCCTCGGACATGTGGTGATCCTCCTACCTCACCCTCCTGAGTCCTGGGATTATAGGGGACTTGATCTCTTATGTATTGAATCAGCATGGGATATTTATGTAGTGTGCTTCTGTGTTTTTAACAGGTTTGAGAAGTCCACAACCTGTGCAGTCCATTCGTCCTCCATATAGCCGAGCAGTGTCTCTAGATAGCCCTGTTACTGTTGGCTCAAGTCCTCCAATAAAGAATATCAGCGCTTTTCCCATGTTACCAAAGCATCCCCTATTGGGTGGGACTCCAAGAATGATGGATAGTCAGGAAAATTATGGCTCAAACATGGGTAGGTTATTTCTATTTAGTATTTATGCTTAAAAATGCTTTTGAACAAAGCACAATTTCAATATGTGTGTTAAGCTATTTAAATAATTGGGAAAAGTTTAAAAATATCAACATTTCATAAAGATATTTTATGTCTTGGTTATTTAAACTCTTACAGAATTTGTTTGCTGAAGACATTATTTTAGCTTATAATCAGTATGTGGCAACAGTGGCTAATTTAAACTATCACTATATTTGGCCAGGACTGTTCTCAGGATGACAGAGTGATTTGGCAAAGGAAGTATCTTATTGACCACAAAGAGGATTTCATCATGTTATGGAAAAGTCCTAATCATTTTTACCTGTTTTAGGTGGACCAAACAGAAATGTAACTGTGAGCCAGGCTCCTACCTCAGGAGACTGGGGCTTACCAAATTCAAAGGCCAGCAGAATGGAACCTATGAGTACAAACTCTATGGGAAGGCCAGGAGGAGATTACAGTGCTTCTTTACCCAGACCTTCAGTGGGAAGTGCTGTGCCAGTCTTGCCTCTTCGGTCAAATAGCATACCGGGTGCAAGGCCAATGTTGCTGCAGCAGCATCAGCAGCATCAGCAGCAGCAGCTTCAGATGAGTATGTGTCATAAAAAAATACCGTTAGTTATTTTAAGGTAATTTTTACTATTGGCTTATATGAAAACTTAACCCTTTTCTTTTCACTCCCCTAGAGCCTGGTGAGATTCCCATGGGAATGGGGATCAATCCCTATGGCCAAGCAGCACCATCTAGTCAACCAGGTTCCTGGCCAGATGGCATGCTGTCCATGGAACAAGGCCCTCATGTGACTCAAAATAGGTGGGGCTTTATTTTGTGATTGTTGAACATGTTAGCATTGAGAAAAGAGTCAGAGCAGGGAAAACAAAAAACATGAAAGAGAATGTGAAAAATTCTCTGTAGTTGAAGTACTTGGTTGCTCTCCTGAAACAGCAGGTGGAAACAGCTGTACCATTAGTGATTAGGACCATGTAGTAGTCAGGTCTCTCAGAATCTCTCTCTGAGGTGATTATTTTTTTATAGTGATAATCTCATGTGGAGGGAGAAAAATTAGTATTTTGCCAGTATAAGTACATATTTCCTGTGGTTTTATAAATGGTGTTCAGAGAGAAAGGCTGTTTTTCTGAAAATTAGTCTTTATGGATTGGATAGTGACTTTTTTGTTTGTTTTTTTTGTTGTTGTTGTTGTTTTTGTTTTGTTTCGTTTTTTTGAGACAGGGTATGACTTTGTAGTTGAGACTGACCTTGAACTAACTACATAGCCCACACTGGTCTCAGACTCACAGTGATCCTCCTGCCTCAACCTCCCGAGTGCTGGGATTACAGGTGTGTGCCACCATGCCTGGCCTGTTTATGTTTTTTTTTTTTTTTTTTTTTTTTT